ACTTAGAGTATATATATATATATATATATATATATATATATATATATATTCCTTCTTATTTATTCATAATTATTGCTTTTTATATGCTTCTATCAGCCCGTTGCTCTCCTGAAATACTTATTAATTTGTAAATGGAACAATCAGATTTCTTTATATCTTGTTTCTGTGCGGGACTGCACCAAAGTCTAGAACCCAGACTAAAACAGTATCTGTATGATATTAATGACAAATTATGGGTCCATTTTATTGATTATGAGATGTTTTTAATGTTTAATTGTTTTATTCTAAACGTCACAGTAGATGAAGTGGGAAAAAGTTGGGTTAAAATCTGAACTGATTCTGAAGTCCCGGCTGAAAAGCCCTGCACGGACAATCACCATTAGCAAATAAAGGCATTATTTGTCTGTGGGGGACCATTCACTGTGCTTAGCTTTTTCATGTATTGTGGTTTGCAGGGAAACAGTAGCTGGTCTTGCATTTGAAATTGAAGATGTGAGGAGGGTGGGGTGGTGATAAATTGCTTTACTCTCTCCACTGTAAATATGAGACTGTAGTTGTACTTGCTAGTCTTTTGTTGGAGCAAATAATTACCCCTTAGGCATTATTTTTCATTAATGTTGAATATGGGTATGTGTCATTTATAATTAATTTTTTGATGTGGAATGGTCTGCAATTATATAACATCCACACCATGAAATCTGAGTAGAATCTGCCAGGAAGGCGAAGAAATCCTTTTATTAGTGTGCATGCAGTTAACATTTCTTGTTAAGACTTGTTGTTGTGAAGGACAAAGACAGTAAAACACATCATCTTGTAAAAACAATTTATTGTGTAATTTCATACAGCAATATATCACAAATTAAGTATAACTGATTAAATAAGTTTATGTATAATATTAATACATAATATGCATAATATGTATTGCAGCTCTTCTCATCCAGTACTATCCCACAGTTCAGCTGTAATAGAAACACCTTAATGCTCAATCAATATAGTATATATTTCATTATAGTAGACTGATTCTGCTTCGTATCACACTCATTTGAATGATCTGTAATTGTTTTGCTACATTTATTTAGCATGGAATGGATGATTTAAGACAGCAAAGAAACTATTCAGGAGGAAGTTCAGGAGATAGAGGTAAGGGTGTTTGATTAGCTTGAGCTTATCAATTTGCTGTGAACCTGAACCAAAATCTTTTGTGAAGATCTTTTCATTGTGAAGACTGTGCCACCTAGTGATTCTGTAATGTTACTGAGAAGCTTGATTATTATATTGATGAAGTGAGAATGTTTTATTCAGCTATATTATTTTTGAATTTCAAAGCAAGAACTGTTCACATTTATAAGACATGTTTTATGAAAACAGGCATCACGGAAACAACAATCTCTACTACTAGAATTACATCTTTACCTCCACGTAAGTTACCCCTGTTCACCCTCCCATGTACAGTTGTATCTGTTCTCACTGTCTTATTTATTCATATTCAATGCCTTGTTTCTCTACTGAATTTGTGCATCATGGGAAAATTCATACTGTGGCTGTAACTTGAGCATCTTTTTCAGTATGAGGTCAAAGTGGACATTGCTGTAATTTACTGTGCTTTAACCCCACAGGAGGCTTCAGTGCATCCGCCAACAAGGGCATGTCAAGCACTTCTGGGTCTTCTGGCCTGGAGAAGAACATTTTGACTCAAAACAACAGCAGTCCTTTTTTCTCATCCTGTAAGCCAATCAAACATTATTTTTGAAGAGCTATACTCTATAAGAGCTATACTAGGGGAAGTCGTGGCCTAATGGTTAGAGAGTAACCCAAAGGTTGCGGGTTCGAGTCTCGTACTGGCAGGGATTGTAGGTGGGGGGAGTGAATGTACAGCGCTCTCTCACACCTTCAATACCACGACTGAGGTGCCCTTGAGCAAGGCACCGAACCCCCAGCTGCTCCCCGGGCGCCGCAGCAAAAATGGCTGCCCACTGCTCCGGGTGTGTGTTCACGGTGTGTGTGTGTGTGTGTGTTCACTGCTGTGTGTGTGCACTTTGGATGGGATAAATGCAAAGCACTAATTCCGAGTATGGGTCACCATGCTTGGCCACATGTCACTTTCACTTCAGTTTTTCACTTCACTCTATATGTTTAATATATCTCATATATCTGTAAATGGCTAAAATTGTCCCTGCGTCTGTGTCTCAGCATCTGTGGGTGTGAGTGCAGGTGGGTTCGGCTCTAGATCAGGGGAATATCTGGTAGAGGAGACAACTGTGAGCAGGAAGACAGGTGGTGCCTCTGGAGTTTTCGAGAGTGTCTCTGGATCGGGAACAGGGTCGAGGGTGAGATCCAGCTCCACTGATGGCATGAGAAGAACGCAAGACTCCCCTTTGTTTGTGGAGAGGAAAAGCAAAACTACTCATTCACGTCGTTATGATGGTTAGTCACAGCTGAGACACCTTAAATAAATAAATAAATAAAATATTTTTTTAGCATTTTTAGTCAGTTCTTCATAATTAGCTACACTAGCATGTAATAATTTTTTTTAACTTCAACAGGAAGCTCAAGTGACAGCTCATCCCCAGAAATAAAAAGAAAGGACTATGGTAAGACACTCAGACAAATGCATGTTTTATATGATGGTGACAAGAAATTTGTTTTGGAGACAAAAAACAGCTTTTATTTTAATTGCTCTGTTTCCAGGTTCAACAAGAGGAAGGAGTCAAAGCAGGGGTGAGATTATTATTTACACTAATGCAAATAGTATAGAAATTACTTTGCATAGGATAATCATCTTTACTGTACAATGATATTATCCTTATAACTTCTTTACTACTTTGTCACTGCGGAAAATTGTTTCCTACAGCTGTGTTCCTGTTCTGTAGTAGCTAAGGCCTATTAGTTCCCGTTTTTCCCTAGTAATTAATAAAATAATCTCCACTCAATTCAATATTCAATAGCTATGGAATTTGAAAAGTAGTAGGGGAATAAACTGGACAGTGTGCGGTAAGGTCAATAGAAAGTAAACATCGCCAAGTTGCGTTCAATGTTTCTCAACACTGGTTCCTGGACATTATTGATCAGTTACATATTTAAATATATGTGCTAAATATATGTGTTGGTGTTGAAATAATGTTGAGATAATTATTAGTTAAAAATATGTCTATCTGTGTTACTGTTTTAGAGACGGAAATCAGGACCAGGCTTCAGAGTGCATCTCCCTCCACTAGATGTATGTTATCCCTCTATTTCTTTCTAATTCAGTTGTCTTAAGGATTCACATAAATAGGCTATAATAATAATATAATTCGATTTTTTTTAACTGAATGAAACTAATATGTTGAGAAATGTTTAAACAGCCCCGTTAAAACTTGAGGAATCAAACAAATGTAGCCTATACAGTTTTTTTTCTTCTCAGAGGCTCAAGGAAAAGCTATAGGTTGTTGAACGCCACAGCGGACAGTAGTATGAGATAGTGAACCTGAAGGCACGTTTAGACACGACTAATACAGTGCTGCTGCTACAGGGACAGAGCTGGATGATGTGAAGAAGCTGCTGAAGGGATCACGATCGGCCAGCGTCAGCCCCACACGATCTCCCTCCTCCTCCCCTCTCCCTATACCTCGCAAGGCCAGCACCTTAGACACCAAGATCTCCACCAAGCAAGGTATGGAAAGCTGGATTAGAAGAGCTCAGGGCGTTGACATATCATGCGTTATTAGTAAAGCTCACATAGCCTATTAGTAAAGATTTTATAGTAGTTAACACTCTTTACCACACCTATGGTGTGCAGAGCCTATTTATTTTCATGCACAAAAAAAATCAAATTCCTCAGTTCATCCGTGCATAGACATATTGTGTTCAATTCCAAGGCGTTAAGACTTCCTTTCAATTTTCTCAGTCGAGCAATATGACACCACTATTCTTGACGCTGACCTGGCCTCATACACATGGAACAGCTCCACACTGCCCTCTACAGTCTCCACTGGTACTGCTTACGGCTTCAACAGCAACACCAACAACATGTCAACGGGAGCTACTCTTGTTAACAGCACATCACCATCCTCCTTATCAGGTCTGCGCAGTTGAACACTGATTTACTAAGCTGACCTGATAATAAAGAGAATTTATCAAGTCATCACCAATATCACTCTATTTTCTGTTGTATTATAAACAAAACTAGCCTACTAATACATCAAAACATTCAGTTGAAGGCAAGGTCCTCCAACAAATATATTAGCTAAATACATGTTATTTCTTGACTTACAGTGTATGGCTACCACAACAATTTAGCTCCTGCGAGTGGAGTTCTAACTTCCAGTGGAGTTAACACACACTCAGGTATCCTCTGAGGTGTAAAATATTAAATAATTGTGATGACATTGCTTTGACAAATGACAAGTTAATAACATTCCTTGTAAGCATGTTCAATTGTTTATGTTTTAGGATATGGAGTGCAGAAGAATTATTTGACAAGTCCCAGCAGCACTCTTGGTGTTGGCACAGGCATCTCCACCACAGGTGTTTGTTATATTTTTTCTGTACATCATAGCTCAACAACAAACCCAATGTGAGATGTGAGAGAGTTTTGGGACAGTTGATAGAATCGTCACTTGCTCTGTCGCCCAGTGCTGAACTGTCAAAGTAGTAAACAGTGTTCTGCTGTTTAAATATGTTACAATGTTAACATAAATGAGGTTTTGGTGAAATTGCATGAATAGAGGCTTAGAGGCAGCAGTTAGGATGGAATGAAAATAATCAACAAATCAGTATGAGTTTTCACTGTATTTCGTTGTGTTTTCAACCAAAAAAAAACATTTGATGAAAATTGTAAATATAACATTATATACTTTAAATACACTGCTGTTCAAAAGTTAGTGGTTGGTAAGGTTTTTGAGAGACATCTCTCACCAGGGCTGCATTTATTAGATCGAAATAAAGTAAAACAGTAATTAATAATAATTAATTTATTAATAATATTACTGTACAATTTAATATAAATAACTGATTTCTATTTTAATTATACTTTAAAATGTATTATCATCATATGATAGCAAAACTCAGCCTTAACAGTTGTGCAGAATGAAGTCTTAACAGATTTCATTGTTTTTTGATGTGCATCTCTAGGTCCACCAGGAATGCCAGGACATCCAGGAAGAGAAGGACAAAAAGGAAGTGCAGGTACCTGAAACATTAGGCAGCACTTTTATTTTGTGGGAAAATCATTCACCATCATTAATTCTGTGTTTAAATCACAAAGTAAATTAACAAGTATCGCAAAAGATAAGGCCTAGAGGTTAAGGTTTAGAAATACAGTCCATAAATGCTGCATTTGACAGGTGCTAATACTGTAGCACTAACAAATAACTTTAAATAGTCAATTCTTACAATCCAGTTGACAGACTAGTCCCTACCTACATTCAAGATACATCTCTTCTGTGAACACTTGACTCAGTCCTGTTAATGCTCTTAGTTCTTTTGAAAAAAATAATGAACCTTTTCCAGATGTTGCCTCATCAAAACTTTAAAATGTGTATGACAGGTGAACGTGGTCCAGAAGGACCACCAGGTTTCAGAGCAAGAGATGGTCAGCCTGGACCCCGTGGAGAGCCAGGACCCCCAGGGGCCGGAGAGAAGGGTGAAAGGGGTAAGATACTGCATACTTTGAGAATATGGCTCTTGAAACATGATCCTAGCATTTAATTTTTAGTATTTCATTCATTACAATTTAGGGTTCTCATACACAACGTAAATTTAAGAATAAAACTGCTGTTTTGATCTCATTTACAGTGTGTCTGTGTATCTGTTTTCTCTTCAGGTATTCCTGGTCCTCCTGGCTCTCCTGGTCTTGTTGGTCCACCTGGGCCTAAAGGTCAGTACACAAAAAGCAATTTATATAAAGGCTAATACTTATTATATTCAGTGAAATTAGCTGTACAGAATCATTTGAGATTGGCAAATGAAATGCATTGGCATAAATATATATATACTTAAATATGAATGTTTACATAATCATTAAGCAGTAATGCAATATTTGCATGTGTTTGATCTTTGTTCTCTTTTTGTTTGTTTGTTCAACAGGTCCCAGTGGTTTACATGGTAATCAACTCTTTCTTTACCAAAAAATATTTTCGTGACATTTTGTAAATTTTTTGTGTTCTAAAATAATGACATTAAATCTGTAACAAAAAAATAAAATGTTTTCTGTGTAGGTGAACAAGGCCCTCAAGGCTTCAGAGGTGAACATGGCCCTGCCGGTGCTAAAGGTGTGTATCACAATGAACACTTGGTGTGTTTTCATATAGCATTACAGTACGTATATGAATAAAATCCTAATGTTTATAAAAAATTTAAAAAAAATTCTTTCCAGGTGATAGAGGACTTCCTGGTCCACCTGGAATTAAAGGTTTGTAGCTAATTATATGTCAGCCTGACATACAGTATCCAGTTCTTCATTATAGTCAATGTGAATTCATGTAAAATTGTGTATGTGTTATGTCAGGTGATCATGGTGATAGAGGAGAAAATGGATTGTCAGGTGTGTATATTTGGACTGAGCCATAAGAACTTTATTCATTTGTGCCATGTTTACAAATATTTGATTCATTGTTAAATCTCTGTACCCTCTATCAGGTGCTTCTGGTGCTGCAGGACGACAAGGGCCACCTGGTGAGAAAGGAGCTAAAGGATCAGCAGGTGATTCATCTGTAGGAACAGACACAAACCTGAGAATTTGGACTTTTTGCCATTTTATTATTAGAACAGGGAGAGAACAGACATATTTGGACTGAGCCATAAGAACTTTATTCATTTGTGCCATGTTTACAAATATTTGATTCATTGTTAAATCTCTGTACCCTCTACCAGGTGCTTCTGGTGCTGCAGGACGACAAGGGCCACCTGGTGAGAAAGGAGCTAAAGGATCAGCAGGTGATTCATCTGTAGGAGCAGACACAAACCTGAGATTTTTGGCTTTTTGCCATTTTATTATTAGAACAGGGAGAGAACAGACATGTGATAGGCAGAAAAGTGTGGCGGGGAATCAGCAAATGACTAATTGCCAGGGTCCAATTCAGGTTGCCTGTATACTGTATATCAGCACTATATGCATACAGTTCAACATCAGACAGAGCTATATTTTTAACCATGATGTGTTGGCCATCAACACCAAAAAAAATGTAGTTTCAAATAAATGCTGTTCATTCTATTCATCACGGTTTGCACAAAAATATTAAGCAGCATGACTGTTTTCAACATTGCTAATAATAAGAAATGTTTCTTTAATGCCAAATCAGCATAGTAGAATGACTAAAGGACACTGAAGACTGGAGTAATGGCTGCTGAAAATTCATCTTTTCCATTACAGGAATACATTGCCTGTTAAAATGTAATGAAATAGAATAAAGCTTTTTAAAACTGTAATAATGTTTCACAATATTTTTGTATTTTTGACTTCTTTCAAAGTCATTAAAAAATCTTACCGACCCCCAAAAATTAGAAATGTAAAGTCTCAAGTATATCTAAATGAATGGAAAAAGGCCAGAATTTGTTTGTGGCATTTATTTGTTTTCCTAAAACTAAATCACGGTTTGCACAAAAATATTAAGCAGCATGACTGTTTTCAACATTGCTAATAATAAGAAATGTTTCTTTAATGCCAAATCAGCATAGTAGAATGACTAAAGGACACTGAAGACTGGAGTAATGGCTGCTGAAAATTCATCTTTTCCATTACAGGAATAAATTGCCTGTTAAAATGTAATGAAATAGAATAAAGCTTTTTAAAACTGTAATAATGTTTCACAATATTTTTGACTTCTTTCAAAGTCATTAAAAAATCTTACCGACCCCCAAAAATTAGAAATTTAAAGTCTCAAGTATATCTAAATGAATGGAAAAAGGCCAGAATTTGTTTGTGGCATTTATTTGTTTTCCTAAAACTAAATCAATAAATAGTATTACTATATTGTATATTCCAAGACTGGATCTGCTTAGTTGGCTGTGGGTGCATGGAATCTATTCATTTAAGCTCTATTATTGTCTGGACCTCTTTAATGCGAATCTTCGATTGGTAAAAAAGAAGTCCCCAGATAGTAATTTTGTCATTTCATTTTAGGGCCTCAAGGACCTGATGGCGAAAAGGGCCAAAGAGGTGAGAGGCATTTTCAGGTTTGATGATTCCAAGCCAAATCATTTTTTTTATTATGTACCTATATCTGCATTTTTATTTTAATCTGTGTCTGTATTCTGTATCATTTTTGCTCATATCTATTGACTTCTTTCAAAGTCATTAAAAAATCTTACCGACCCCCAAAAATTAGAAATTTAAAGTCTCAAGTATATCTAAATGAATGGAAAAAGGCCAGAATTTGTTTGTGGCATTTATTTGTTTTCCTAAAACTAAATCAATAAATAGTATTACTATATTGTATATTCCAAGACTGGATCTGCTTAGTTGGCTGTGGGTGCATGGAATCTATTCATTTAAGCTCTATTATTGTCTGGACCTCTTTAATGCGAATCTTCGATTGGTAAAAAAGAAGTCCCCAGATAGTAATTTTGTCATTTCATTTTAGGGCCTCAAGGACCTGATGGCGAAAAGGGCCAAAGAGGTGAGAGGCATTTTCAGGTTTGATGATTCCAAGCTAAATCATTTTTTTTTATTATGTACCTATATCTGCATCTTTATTTTAATCTGTGTCTGTATTCTGTATCATTTTTGCTCATATCTAGGTGAGCCAGGCTCAATTGGCTTACCAGGAATCAGAGGACCACCTGGACCACCCGGTGATCCTGGGCAACCAGGTATAAAAACATGAACCCTCATTTAATATAAATAAAAAATAGAAAAACATGATCCTCATTTTGAGAAAATGACCTTAATCTGCATGTTATAACACAGTTTCTATCATTCGCCATGTGGTTATACACATTCAAATTACTAAAGTTTAATAATGTTTGAAAAAATAGGTGAATTGTGTTAGATTAAAAAAAAAAAAATTCTCTTTAAATCAGGAATTCAAGGGATTCAAGGACCTCCAGGTAACCTGTCACTTGAACTGCATTCTTTTATGTGCATAATGTATGTTTTACATTTTTATGCAATTTAGATTTTTACAGTTTATCTCAACTATGTATGAAGATATAATGGTCAGCATGTTTCTTTTTGCATAGGCCTACCTGGCAATCCTGGTCAACCTGGAGCTAAAGGTGCTGTATGGTGGCTGTTTTTGTATAATAGACCGTAGGATCAATGTTTAGCTGCCTTTTGAAGTCTTGCATTTTTAGCAATATATTTTGTCTTATTATTGGACATTGGAATCATGTGTGTGCAACTAAGTCTACGAATGTTTAAATAATTAATCTGAAAATGTTCACAGGTGAGACTGGTGAGCCTGGAAGAGTGATCAATGCAGGTAAGACTACATGAAGTATTAAAACACATTTAACAGTCCACTGCGCAGTCAACTTACATTGAGAGCTTTAATTTTACAGCAGGTTCTAGCTCAGTGGCAATCCCAGGACCACCTGGAAGCCCTGGTCCTCCTGGCCCAGCTGGATCTCCAGGACTCTCAGGTATGTTCATAATCTTTATCCTTTTAAAACCCCAGATTACAAAATCTCCTGTTAATCAGTGAAATCACTGTGTGCTTTGTATATTTGAACAATCCAATGAATGACATATGCTTGAACTAATTGCACTGTTTGGGTACATCAGTATATTTATCAGGTGGCTGTTTTTGTATAATAGACCGTAGGATCAATGTTTAGCTGCCTTTTGAAGTCTTGCATTTTTAGCAATATATTTTGTCTTATTATTGGACATTGGAATCATGTGTGTGCAACTAAGTCTACGAATGTTTAAATAATTAATCTGAAAATGTTCACAGGTGAGACTGGTGAGCCTGGAAGAGTGATCAATGCAGGTAAGACTACATGAAGTATTAAAACACATGTAACAGTCCACTGCGCAGTCAACTTACATTGAGAGCTTTAATTTTACAGCAGGTTCTAGCTCAGTGGCAATCCCAGGACCACCTGGAAGCCCTGGTCCTCCTGGCCCAGCTGGATCTCCAGGACTCTCAGGTATGTTCATGTGTCAGTGAAATCACTGTGTGCTTTGTATATTTGAACAATCCAATGAATGACATATGCTTGAACTAATTGCAGTGTTTGGGTACATCAGTATATTTATCATTTGATTTTATCAATCAATGTATGTCTTATGACGCTAGGACCCGTTGGCCCTGCTGGACTTCCTGGTCAGCCTGGTAAATTTGCATTTTTCATCTGGTGTTCCTGTGTAATATTGTATATTAGTAAAATAAAAATGATATTCAAATGACCTTCCATTCATCCACCTTGATTTTTGTGCAGGTCCTAAAGGTTATAAGGGAGATCAAGGAGAACCGGGTATTGCTGTTAGCGCTGGTGAGACTTTGGTTGCAACGCAAGCAGAAAGTGAGTCTTTATTTAAAAGATCTAATTTGAACATTAGGAACTTATAGAAATGCATTAATTTAATACTTGTGTGTCCTTTTTAGGACAGTATGGTTCTGCACATGTTGGTGTTTCTGGACCACCTGGTCCTCCTGGTCCCCCAGGGCCTCCTGGACGTCCAGGTACCATAACATTATACATGAAAGGCTTAAGGATCAGCATCTGATTTTCTTGCCACACACATTGTCTTTTGAATGTGAAATGTAATATTTATTTAATTATTTAGCTATATATCCTCCTGACTACCAGCTATGGAGTTTTGTCCTCTGTAGAGGACATTATGTTTTAGTGATTTCTCTGAGACGTTACATGTCACAGTTTTAAGTCTGGATGTCCTGTACAGAGCACATTCAGGGCTTTCCAGAGATACCAAATGATCAGATGTTTCACCATGACCACTCCCTCTCCTTGGTCTTTAAAAATGGCTGACATTCATTTAGTGATCAAATGTAACACCCTAATGGAAATATGATAATATTTTGTAATTATAATTTAAATCTGATTAATTTTCAAATTGTTTGTCATAAATCAACATCTCAGGAAAATGATATGGGGTTTTAAATCAAAATATGAGCTTCTGTTATGAAACAGGACATCGATTTCATACATGTCCACTGTAGAGGACACCAGGACTTAAAGGATGTTTATTACACATTTTGGGAGACACAACAAATGAATAGAGAAAAAATTAAATATCAATATTCCTATTAAATATGAGATATTATTATGAAAATCTTGCTAATTATTACACCCATTATTTCACTTATTTGTTCATATGTTGCCCCAAAAACACATTAATATGCAAATTAGATACAGTTTATAGATACACTGAAAATTGATTTGTGATTAAAACAAAAATCCCACTGTTTTTGCCTTTTCATGTCTATTCATGTCTTTTTATTTCTTAAAAAACAGGACTTTTTAAAGTCCCGATGTCTTCTACAGAGGACATGGCATAACGTATGAATAAAATATCATTTTTCAAAAATTTTATTTTTCAAATTTTTCTTATGCTCTAAACAATGTAATGACATGACAAAATACTAAAATCACAAAACTGTTTTTTCCTGGTAGTCAGGAGGTTAAATATGTATATATATATATATATATATGACAGAATAGTTTTAAAATGAATGTTATACTTTTAGAGCAGATTATATTTGAACGCATTTAATCCATTTTCACTGTTTACTCCCTATAGGTGATTCTAGACCAGGTCCACCGGGACCACCTGGCGAACCAGGCGCACCAGGTAAGATGAACATTCATGCTTATTTTCATACTTTCCTGTAGTGGCATACTCTTCTCAACTCTTTTGTTACTGTCTCATAGGATATGGCAGACCTGGTCCTAAAGGAGACAAGGGAGATTCAGGAAACTTTGTGCCTAATTCAGGTTTGATTCCAGCATATGTCTGGGTCTATGCATTAAGAGTGTTGTGGTTTCTTAAATCTCACAATTTTACACAGGAACATTTTTTGCGGGACCACCTGGGCCATCAGGACCTCCAGGGCCTAAGGGAGCAACAGGTGAGTCTTACCCAGAACTTGTGTTTAATTGATTCTACTTGTTGGTACCTTTATTCCAGCCTATCACCAGTGAAGACACTATGAAAATGTGATGTCAGAAAGTAGGATACTTAACTATTATCAGATACTTAAATTATATATTTATGTAAATTTCAGGTGCCCAGGGTCCAAGAGGAGACCAAGGTGAGGCTCCATTCTCCAGCCAACACTTCATATTGGTCACAAGAACTGATATAAACAGTAAAACACATAAAGTACTTAGATCACCACGTCTTATAATAGTGCTTTATTTGTCATATGTGACATTTTTTTTAGGGGAACCAGGTCAACCTGGCCTTCCAGGGAGTCCCGGTAGAGTTAGTAAGTTAACCCTATATTTAATTTAGACCCTATAATACTTAATTTGCTTTTCATTAAAATATTGTCAAGAGATTATAGGTTTTTAAGTGCATATAAATAATATGGAAATAATGATTTATTTTTTATTCTATATAGTCTCTGAGTATGGTGTGGCTCAAGGTCCACCTGGTCCCCCAGGACCTCCTGGAACACCCGGACGAGATGGCCGTAAAGGTAAAAAACTTGAATAATGATGAAGAGACATTGTATTCCCGTTCATTAATATCTACAGTACAATAATCTTTAAAATAATTTCCCAGGGGATCCTGGAGTACCAGGTACATCAACATTCCAAGGAGAATCCAGAGGTAAATGTTAATATGTTGTACTGTACGTATATGTTCACCCAAAAATTACAAACCTCATCTCGTTCCAAATCCATAAGACTATCGTTCATCTTTCGTTCAACACAAATTAAGTGTTTTTTTCCAAGTCCTCTAATCCTATTAATTTTTGGGTGAACTAAATCTTTAATATAGCACCATTATTAGATTATCAAATGAGGTTCCTAAAGCAAAACAGTATCGTAACCCTTGTATCACTTCTTGTTGCCTTCAGTATCAGGAGCAGTTGCAGTCGGGCCCCAAGGGCGGCCTGGTCCCCCAGGACCTCCTGGTCCTCCAGGTCATTCTAGTGGATCCCATTCTACTGCAGACTATCGTCGTTACATCATGGAGTATATGCAGAGTGAGTACCTGTTGATTTGGATGATCACACTCCTGCTCCTGAAGTTCATTTTCTCATGAATGTGTGACATCTTTTCCACAGGTGACAGCATGAGGCAGCATTTTTCTGGTATTCAGGGGCCACCTGGTCCACCTGGGCGTTCAGTGTCTGTAGAGGACGTGGCGTCTCGGGTTATCGCTTACATTCAGCGTAAGTTCAGATCTGCTGTGTAATGTTTAATGTATGTCTGTGCGTCCTGCTGCATTTGTGGTAAAATATATCATTTTGATTCAGGCTCTGGAATTAGCGGTAACAGTATTGGCCAAGGTCCTCAAGGACCTCCAGGACCTCCTGGCCCACCTGGAAGTATAAGTGCTGAATACATCATTTCCCTTTTACAGAGTGAGTAAACCATGTCAGACCCGCTTGTGTATAAATGGTCTTTTGAATCTTGAATCTAAGAATTGACCCAGTGACTTTCTTATGCTCAGGTGAAGATGTGAGGCGTTACGTGACTGGCCCTCCAGGACCACCGGGTTCACCTGGCGTTAGTGCTAGTACCTTTAGCGCACAGGAAGTGGCAAACTATGCCATCAGAATGATGAATGGTGTGTCTTTAACCTGAATCTTATTTTAAAGCAGAAATAGATTGAATTCTGTCTTATTAAAGGCATTTGTGAATTTGTGTTTTTAGAGCAGGGGATGACAGGCAGAACTGGACCACCAGGTCTTCCCGGCCCACCTGGGCAGCCTGGCCAGCCAGGTGCTTCCTACAGTGAAATAACCACTCTGCTTCAGGGTATGTACTTGTGTTTTTGCAATATTTTGTTTTATAACATGTAAAGGGTTTCCTTTCCTCATATTCCACTTTGAATGTGTTTGAAGGGTCAGGGCTTAGTGGAAGCGTTGGACGTCCTGGGCCCCCTGGTCCTCAAGGTATACAGGGACCCCCTGGTTTGCCTGGCACCCCAGGAGGCTCCTCTGCAGTCTCTGGTTACAAACTAGAGGACATCCAGCTCTATCTACAGAGTGAGTCCTCTCATGAGTTTTGTTGTACTGTCTGATACACATTTGCAGTTTTGCAAAAAAACTCATTATATGATTCTCTGTTATTTAGAGTCTGGTTTTAGGGGACCTCCTGGCCTACCTGGCCCACCAGGACCCCAGGGTCCTCCAGGAGACACTAGGGGCCTTGTATCATATTCAGGATCTTCTGCACGAGAACAGATCCGTGCTGAGCTGCAGGACTACCTAAACAGTGAGTGTCACTCACCACACACTCTAATTTGGGAAATGACACCTCAGTGTAACTTTACATTGGTGGACGCTTGACTGATTTTAACAAGTGATCTCGCTCCATTCTATATTCTCAAAGTTAAATGCATGACTTTAAACTCTCTGTGTCCTAGATTTGTCTGACCAGTTCCTGGAAACACTTTGTGGTTGTTTGCCGCATCAATAAATAGTCTCATATTTTTTTCAGGTGACACCGTGAGGCGCTACGTTCATGGTCCCCCTGGGCCTCCCGGACCGCCTGGTCAGAAGGGTGAACGTGGTGAAGCCGGACACAGTTATCACAGTGCCAGAAGCCAATACCGCTATGGCTCTGAGATCAGTGAACCAGTGGACTACTCCAATGTTGCACTCAAAGTCACTGATTACATTAAGAGTGAGTACAGTTTCATTCAAGTCTTATGCGCCAGAGTTATATTCATAATAAAGCAGTAAAATTAACTTGACCTTATGATTCCTGAAAGAAATATCCACACTTGCAATGCAGTCTTAGGTATGCTTTGGTTTCCTAGTGCTTCCTAGTCCTTAACAAGTTACTGTCTTTAAGAGTGAGCCATTGAATCATTCATTTAACCAATTTGTTCTCCTCTCTAAGTAGATGCTTCTTTTAAGTAATTATGTCACGTTAAAAAAAGTATGTTCTATATAGTATGAATGTATTCTGGACTTAATACATTCAACTTTTTATTTGTAGGCATTACATAATTGAAGGATTTAATGGGATTGATGGAGAACAGTAGAAAACTCGAATTTATATGAAATCAGTCCATTTTAATTTATTTGCAAGTATTTTTTTTTTTTTAAATATGCACAAATTTACTCTAAATTGGGTGCCTACTATGCAGAAAACAGCTATGTTAATGCTTTCTATCTTGTCACATTCTGTTATAAATTGCATGAATCACAATAGACTATTTTCAATTCAAAACGAAGAAATTTTATATAACTGGATATTACTGATGATCATTTAACATTTTTATTGTGAAATAGATATCATATTTTAAATGTACTTACATCTTACCTCGCACTCTTTCATCGTTAAAACAGAAGCGCTGCACTGGAATTCATGCTCATCTTCTGTGACTTTTTATTGTTTTATGAGTACTGTGAATTTGGAAATATTTATCATTCACATACTGTTCTTTAGTCAACTATATAGTAGGGAAATATGCATATCTGGATGCAGCTGCTATCTGTTTGAGTGAGTCACTGAGACATTCATCTAATCGATTTGTTCAAAAACACTGACTCGTTTGTAATTGTGTGTTGTGTATGATTCAGGTTTGCTGTAATGCGAGTAGCTGGCAGTGTTGTGTCTAATAGTACAAAGCACTGTAATAATAAGCAAATCCATCCTTTTTCCAAAATCCTATGCAGTTGCAGAGATACTGGAGCCAATCCGAGTGTCTTGGGCCATAGTCAGGGAAACACTGTGGACAGATGGTCAGTCCATCACAGGGATAGTGAGCAAATCCATCTTGCTTGTTTCCTTTAGATCAAGGTATACTGCAGGACCTGACAGAGGGATACTGGAGAACACAAGCAGGTAGGATCCAAGGACCCGCTGGGCCTCCTGGTCCTCCCGGGCCACCTGGGTACAGCCGTGTGATTGGTGCCTATGGAAATGTGACGGCTGACTTAATGGACTTCTTTAGAAGTTAGTATCCGCTTTTACTCACATACTCTATCATATATACTGATTAAATATTGAATCACTGTATTTGTCTTGTTTCATTATTCCTAAACATTATTTATCTTTTCAGCATATGGGACCATCCCAGGGCCTCCTGGCAGGCCAGGACCCAAAGGAGACAGAGGATACCCTGGTCCTAAAGGAGAAAAGGGTACAAGTCATGATTCATATAGCCCTACTGGACAAGAAATCGAACTGAAGTGCTGCCTGCTTGAACATGAAAGTGAAGAGCTGTGAATATAAAACTGTTTGTATGTGATCTACAGGGGAATTGGGGAGCTCAGGGATACCCGGCCTTCCGGGACAAAGAGGACCAGAGGGACCAATGGGAGAAAAGGGTGAAAAAGGTTAGAAAACTACTATCAGTCATAGTATACTTGGTTTCTCATCATGTACTGTATCCTAGCATGAAATAATATTCAAGGTTTTTATGTCGTCACATTTATGTAAAAATCATCAAATGATGTATCTTAAGGCAGCGCTGGATCCAGATGTCATTCTGACATGTATCTCTATATATAACTTTAGGTGATTTCCAGACTGGTAGATGGATTCGGACTAGTGGTGTGTAAGGGCACACACATTTGAAGCAGCACACTTTCGTGGATGCACTGACTTTGTAAAGAAACAATACATATCTTTAAGAAGATAAATTCATAAACTAGCCTTTTTTTATGAAGTAATTCAGCTCAGAGGCTTGTTTGGGTCCTATTTTATCAGTTTTATAATCAACCAAATGCATGCAATATTATAATCCATACATTTCAAACAATTTTCAGCTTTACTAGCGTGGGTTGAAGACCCGTCTTAGTTTTCATTATCTAACATTTAATATAGCACTTGAAATGTACTTTCTACCCAGTAGTGGACTTTGTAATTGCCTTGTGTTTTTTTTTGTATTGTATGAATCTTGTCTATGGTGATGTTTGCATTTTTTTTTTAAAAGTAACATGGATGGTACACTAAAAAAGAGGTCTTAAACACTTGAGATTTTTTAGACCATGTGCTGTAATGTGAGTTATTATTACAAGTAAAAAGCCACTGAATGTGTAACAAAGAATGGAGTATGATGTTACTCCTACCCAAACGGTTTCGATACTGAGCTACAAAAAACACCAAACAAATCAAAGAAAATACAATGAGTTTTATTTACAGCATTATTACAGTATACCAATGGACACAAGCGATTAGATACATAAATTGACCTCAAAAAATGAATCAGATATTCCATCAAAGTGCTGCAGGAGGTTAAGGTCACTGTTCAGCAGTATGACACTGGGATATCGGCCCTTTCTTTCTGTCTCTGAACAAGTATCTTGATGTGTAATGCACTGTTTGTGCAAATACTAACTTTTAGAACCAGCCTTTGTAAAATGCATCGTCTATTAAAAAAATTCATGTCTCTGGTAAATTACAGCATTTGGGATTTATTTCAGCATGCAAAAAGTATGAGCACAGCATGTCATATTATGGATAAGATACAGGTGTGTAATTTCTTGCACAAAACGTGTTATCAAAAATAGAGTTTGAATCAGATGAAAAGTCCTCAGCAACAGTGAGAAATGTTCATGTCTTCCCACTGAAACGCTTTTGCAGACTGCAATGGACTAAACACTACTCTACATCTATCAAAGTGTGTCCTTTAATAAAAAGAAAACCTAAACTTCAGATAAACCATCTAGCATGTGCAAGGTCATATTGCCCTTATATATTGATGAAACATGAAAAAGAACTAACAATAAAAACGTTCAACTTCAGTTAAATCCATAAATAACTTTTTAACACCATATATGAAACATTCAAGAAGGCTATGACTTCTAATGTGTGAAATTAATTTGCTCATAAAAAAATTAACTCGGGTACTCTGGACCACAAAGTGACTTGCCAAATGAGAAATGACATCATTGTATACAAATATTTGGGCACTATTTCCTTCATAATGCACTAAAGAGATCACTACTGCATATGTTTTTGTTTTAAAGTGTGCAATGTCATCTTGCGGGTTACATTCCTTGACTGCAAATATCTTTAACCATAAGTCAAATAGTAAAAGAAAAAGTTAAAATGAGTAGTTTGTTTTAAAAGTATCTTTACGTGGACATTAAAAACAGAATAGGCCAGATTCACAGGAGTATTCAAAAAATACAACATATAACAGCTGCTACAAGACCAAACAGTACTGAAGCTTCATTTACTAGCTGTGCAACTTGAACATTTAGAGAATTGAGTGTAACAGTGACTAGTGTGTCCACGTGTTCTGTTAAATGTGACCTCTCACCATTTAAGTGGTATTTTCTGTTTGCGATATTTTGTTTGTTATGGGCATCATGTGACCTCATTAAGGCTTTCTCATGCATGTATCCCTCAAAGACAAGATGATATTGCCTGAGTGTATTCATTGCTAATTTGTGCTAATGTCTCAAGCACAAATTAACGTGACCAGAAGACAACGTACAGAAAACTAAAGTGTTAATCCATTGGATTCAATGTGGCAAAAAAGCATGTCTAGGTAATGCATGAGGTTTGTCCTTCATCACTGTTAGATTCCAACTTTCAGGTATTTTGGAATTTCATATCAACCCCATGCATCTATTCTGATCTCATACCTTTAAAAGGCTAACGGGCTCTTGACTGGAACAGCTCTTCTTCACTTTAGATAAAGCTCAGTGAAGATTAAGAGCCGGAGGAGTGCACACTGGGAATGGGGTAGAATTTAGAGACTCTGCTCTGGGTGGTGGGATTGAGGCATTCGGACTCTCCGCTCATCTTAAAGAAGACTTCCTGTTCCTGCAGTTTACGTGTGAACTCTTCCTCCAGAGCCTAAGAGAGAGCAGGAGAGAATTATAAAGTATGTGTATTTACAAAGAATAGTAGTACACAAAATATGAGATGGCACATTATCATTCCAGAGTACTGTGATCTAATTCTAATATTTTCTTTAAATCTTTAATGATATTTTAATGTTGTTAATGCTGTTTTGAACATGTATTCTGAAAAAAAAAAAAAAACAACGTATCAGTTTCCACAAAATATTAAAAGGGATAGTTCACCCAAAAGTGAAAATTCTGTCATTAATTACCCTCATGTTGTTCCAAACCCATAAGACCTTCATTCTTCTATGGAACACAAATTAAGATATTTTGGATGAAATCCGAGAGCTTTCTGACCCTGCATACACAGCAACGCAACTACCAAGTTCAAGGCCCAGAAAGGTAGTAAGAACATTAAATAATCAGTTAAAATAGTTCATGTGACACCATCGTGGTACTCTCATGAACGTGTGGCAGAGACCGACACGGAAGAGAAGAAATTGTTTAATAAAAATATTTTTTTTGTCTTTTCGCAAAAAAATAAAGCTCGTAGCTTCATAAAATTAAGGTTGAATCACTGATGTCACATGGATGATTTTTAAAGATGTCCTTACTACCTATCTGGGCCTTGAACATGATAGTTGTGTTGCTGTCTATGCAGGGACAGAAAGCTCTCGGATTTCATCAAAAATATCTTAATTTGTCTTCTGAAGATGAAAAAGGTCTTACAGGTTTGAACGACATGAGGGTGAGTAATTAATGACAATTTTCATTTTTGGGTGAACTAACCCTTTAAGCAGCACAACTGAAAACTTGAGTAACAACTGATAAAATTCAGCTTTGCCATGACAGGAATAAAATACATTTTAAAATATACTAAAATGGAATATATATATATATATATAAGGTTTGATTTATATTTTATACGTACTTGAAATGATGAAATGTGAATGAAATGAAAACCGAATACCTTCTTCCTGGGACGAAGCTTCTCCCTCCAGTCTTTCAGCTCCTGACTGTGCTCCTCATCCAGCTCCTTCAGCTTCTGAGTCTCATGCTCAATCAGGAGATGGCATTTCTCATTCTGATGGCAAAAAGACAACAAATCAGATGTTACTACCAAAGATAGAGGGCAGCACAATTTAATTTAAAAGTAAATGCAATCGAAAATGCAGGCACCAACGAAAGAGGTTGAGAGTAAGATTTTATATACAGTATGTGTTACAGACCTGCATCTGTTGAAGTTCTCTGATGTTGGAGTCACACTGCAGCTGCAGGTCTCTCATCTGGTTCTCATGTTTCTGATGCTGATGAAGTCTCTCATTCTTCTGTCTCTTGTCCTCCTGAGTGGCAAACTGCTCGAAATAAAGCAGAAAACACCCTCAGGTTTGAACACAAGCCTGATTCCTCTGATCTTTACCAAAGCTTCCTGACAGAGGGTCTGACCTGTTTGATCTTCTCTCTGTCCTGCTCTGGTGTTCCTGTTCCAGTGATCCGCAGGCTCTTTTTAAACATCGCCATACGGGTCTTGGCTTCACTGCGCTGGATCTTGGGCAGCCGAGCTCTTTCCTGTGCCTGCCTGTTCTTCATCTCCTCTATCAGCCGCTGGTTATAACCCTGCATCTGCTCCATCTCCTGATGACCCGTCGTGTGGGAATAAACATAGTCAAAGAGTGGCTACAAAACATACAAGTCTTTCATTCGTTGAATAGATTGACAGTCACGTCTCACCTTGTCATGCCTTTTGAGGAGCTGATGTCTCTGCATGAAGTATTGATCCTTCAGCTGCTGCTTTAGCAACTGGTGTTTCTCCTGCAGGTGGCGCTCCTCCAGCTCCCACATGGCTGCCTCTCGAGCTGTGGGTTTGTGAGCCAAAGAAAAAAGAGGAAATAGAATGATTCTCAGCCATTAGAACCAGACCGTTCAACTCCATGCAGGTTTAGACATGTTTTGCAGACATGAAGTCATACAGCTCATTACACATCATAGACGGCAAATCTCAACACGTCTGGAATCATTTTCACACGCACGTCTCATCAGATGAGATCTGGACCGCACCTCAAGAGACATACGGCTGGCCTTTATAAGAACTGGAGAACTTTATAATTGGACCCGTCTGAAAATAACACGCAGTTTAGCTCTATTCCAGGTAGAGAGAGCTTTACTGTCTGTAGAAGCAGGTAACATGTTTGGATTGTTTCCTTTGTGGTTGGAGTTGAAAGTGTGACCTAGAAAAACCTATCACCACATATGCGCAGCTAATTTATTTATAATGAACATAACCACAATTTAACACAAAAGGTCTACAGGACTTCCTCATAGCATCAAACAGTGAAGTTTGAAGTGCAACTATTTGAGGACTTACTGCAGGCAAACAAAAACGTTTACACAAATGCTTTACATTATTACTAATGTAAGAATATTTACAGTGGCCACCGTTTATAGAGTGCCTGACCTCTCATGAGCTGCTGCTTGTGGTTGAGACAGTCTCTCTCAATAGTGGCGATCTCTAATTTGTGCTGCTGGATGATCTTCTTCAGAGCTCCATCCAGCTCCTGCTGCTGCCTCTGGAGAAACTCTTGCTCCTAAGAGAGATGGGTGGAGAAAGAACAAGAGAGAGGAAGAAAGGAAGGAGGAGGAGGAATCGGTACAGAAACAACAGGGATTATAAATTAGTAACTGTACATGATAATGCTCCAAGGGGAAGCAGTCAAAAATTATATGAGCACTACCACAGCACTGATAACACTGCATTAAGAGGAAAGTCACACACTTAAACCATTTAACAAAGATAAAACATTTATAACTCATGATAAATGGATAAAGATTTGTGAAAGGAAGGAACTAGAGAACGATACACATAAAGTCACAGTACAGCATAACATAACCTTAAAGGTAGGCCCAGACTGAAGTTTTATCATATTTTCTGTGCTGATTTGGGAGGGGGAATGATCAGGATGGATTAAAACATGATCAAATGTGTATAACAACTTGCTGAAAGCTTAATGAAGTGAACAAACAATTTAATGAACGCAAAAAGTTTGTATACTATCTTTGAAAAGTTTTGGGTTGGTAATATATATATATAAAAAAAAAAATACTGTGAAAACGGCACTATTGTGAAATATTACAATTTAAAATAACTCTTCTTTTAAAATGTAACTTATTCCTCTAATGGCAAAGCTAAATTTTCAGCAGTCTTCAGTGTCACATGATCCTTCAGAAATCATTCTAATATGCTGATTTGGTGCTGCTCATGAAACATTTCTTATTATTATCAATGTTGAAGAGAGTTGTGTTGCTCATTTTTTTGTGGAAATCAATTCTTTGATTAATAGAAAGTAAAAAAAAAAAACTATTTACCTGTATTTGAAATGTATTCACTGTCACTTGATCAATTTAATACATCCTTGACTGAATAAAAAGTATTAATTTCTTTAAAAAAACAAAAATTTTTACTGACTGCAAACTTTAATAGAAAGTAAAAAAAAAAAACTATTTACCTGTATTTGAAATGTATTCACTGTCACTTGATCAATTTAATACATCCTTGACTGAATAAAAAGTATTAATTTCTTTAAAAAAACAAATTTTTACTGAT